GGTCACTAATTGCAATCTTATCTTCTATATCTGAAATTCTGTCCTCACATTGGCTCATTCTGCTACATAGACTTTCAAAGGAGTTTTTCATGTCCTGGAGATATGTTTGTGTCTGTTTTATGGCTTCCATTTGTTTCCTATGTTGGGATTCCATCATGTTCCTCAGCTCCTCTCTAGATTTATTAATCATGTCTTGCACTAGGGGTACAATTTCTGCTGTTATCTGAGAAATTTTTGTGATTTCATTTTTTCCAGAACCTATTTGTTGCCAGTTCAGGGAGTCCAGATGATTGAGTATCAGAGTGTTCCATCACATTTCCCTTTGGGGTTGCTCTAGGTGATCTGGAAGTCTGGTAGTGAGACTTGTATATGTTTCTTCTCATTTTGATGGGGGTTGGTGAAGGGTGTGTATGTGCTGTTAGTGCCCACGCTGCTCAACTCCTATGCACTGGGAGTGATGGTATGGGGGCCCAGAAGCCTCCTCCTCTGCACTGGGAGCAGTGCTACCATCAATTAGTGGTTTATTCATTTGTTTATGAACCATGTATTAATCGGTTCATTGATCCATATATGATTGAATACATAGATATATATTGAATACATACATTCATTCACTGGTTTGTTCATCTCATTCATTCATCAGTATTTTCATTTATTGATTTAGCCATTGATGGATTGATTGATGGATGGATGGATACATTTTATCATCCAGGTTTTTACAGATTAATCTTTGATGTATTCCACTGTTGCATTTTTTAGGACCTAGCAGTGATCCATTTGCATGAATAATAAATATTAGTGCAATTCCTTTTCATTTTAGAGAAGGAGTTTTGGACTTCTTAATACAAAATTCCATGCAAAGTTGTGGGGTGTGTATGTGTCTGTGTGTGCATAGCTGTGCAGGTGGGGAGATAACTTATAATATTTACTAGATTTTAAAGGGTGAGTATTCTTGATTTTTCCCTCTTTCCCTCAGCCACAGCTGAGTGCTTCAAGGGTAGGAATGGCATAACCCTTTCTTTAGGGTTTTTCTGGCTCATTGGTTCAAACAAAACAAAGGCCACTGCTGAAGTGCCTTTGTGACGTGGGGTTCATTGTCCCCTTTTCTGTGCAGAGAGGGTCCACAAGGAAATTGAACAGGTGATTGGCTCACACCGCCAGCCAGCCTTGGATGACCGAACCAAAATGCCATACACCGAGGCAGTCATCTGTGAGATTCAGAGATTTGCGGACCTCGTACCCATTGGTCTGCCCCACGTGGTCACCAAAGACACTCACTTCCGAGGGTTCATCATCCCCAAGGTGAGCCTAGCTGGGCTCCCATATCTTTGTGTGAGCCTCTTTGATTTTCAAAACTCCCATCTCAACCTCTTGTTGGTTTCTCAACAGGGAAAGCTTCTTTCAGCTTTCTTTTGTTTTATCTACTTATTTATGGTTTGGCATGTGGAAGGCAGGGAATAACAATACCTTTTGATCCTGTAACCTTTCCTCAGAACACTGAAATATACCCAATCCTAAGCACTGCTCTCCATGACCCACGTCACTTTGAAAAACCAGACACCTTCAACCCTGATCACTTTCTGGATGCCAAGGGGGCACTGAAGAAGAGTGAAGCTTTTATGCCCTTCTCCATGGGTAAGTTGACCCATTACACATCTCCCAGACACTCGACGGTGGTTCCCATTCTCTCCTTGAGACAAAAGATGGGAAGTACCTGTTTAC